TGCCCCACATGCCGTCGCCGTGGCGAAAGCTGCCATCGAGGTGGTTGATCTCGGCTGCGTAAAACCTGCTCTTGTACGAGGCGCTAAAGGCTGTCGCGTCGAGACCTCTTGTGCAGCTTGCAAATGCGACCTACGAATCCCGTACCATCGTTTCTCTCAAGTTGATGCACGTACAAGGCCGTCATGGGGCGTCGACGGAGCGGCCAGTGCATTGATCGCTGTCATGATTCCGGACGCGGATGTCCAGAGACCGACGGGACTTTGACCGCAGAGCACAGCGTCGGCGTAGCGCTTGTAGCTGCCTTGCGCTCTTGTGTAGTAGCTGTTCAAGCCGAGCGCGGTGGCTTCCCAGCTCCCGGCCTCGTACATGTACGCGAATGTCGGCGCGATCGGACACCGGCCGAGAAGCCCGAGCACGGACGAGAGGCTGGGTATCGCACAAGATTTGAGCAGCATATTCAAGACGGGACTGCCGGCCATGGGTGTGTGGAGGGCGACCCATTTTGTCTCGGCGCTGAATGAGCAGACGCCGTTGGCGAGGGCGAGGCCCAGCACAAGGCCGCCCATCGAGTGCGTAACGACGATGAGCCGACCGACGCTGCCCGTGGTATTGGCCACCGAGAGCATTGACGCACAAAATTTCTGTTGCAGAACTGACGACGTCCACGGCACGGTTGTCGTATCGAAGCGCGCAAACTGAAGCGACGAGCAGCACGGTGCCGCGTCGACGAGGTCGTTGCCCCAGTAGGCAGCGTATGATGCGAGAAGGCTCGATGACTCGTTTGCGACGCCGGCGCCGTGGAAGAAAAGACAGGGTCGCCGCCCTGATCGACATGCACACGGCGACTTTGTTGTGTTGGCGACAAGCGCCTCGGACAGCGCGGGGCAGGCGAGCGACTGACGAGGTGGCACGGGCGGCGTCATCGACGTATTTCGGGCCAATGCAACAACTAGGGTTGGTGATATCGCTTTTGTGATGGCTAGCACAAGTAGCGTGATGCCACCGAGATCTCGACCGGAGGATGTACCAAGTTCTATGCTTTGGCAGATCGTCATCGGAGCCCCCAAGAACGTCGTGGCGTACGCGATATAGCCAGCGTCACACGCCGAGACGTCATTGGACTGTGTCGCGGTTTGGATCGCGGCGACCACCGACGCCATCGACGGTAGCGTTGACGCAGAGCCGCACGTGACCGACACTTGTGATGCGCCTTCGATGACGCTGACGTAGAGGGCGCCGGATACCATCGTGTAGCGCTGGACGGTCGCTCCTTGGGTCATGTTGATGTCGTAATCAAAGTTGCTGTGCCCGGTTGCGAAGAGCGAGCCCGACGCATTCGCCGCGACGGAGCCGTTGAAGCCGACGGGAAGAAAATAATAAAGTTGACCGGAGAACGGACCCGCGCTCTCCAAGTAGCGCATGAGTGGCCCGTCCGAGCTGGTGGCGGTTGCCGGCTCTGCCAAGTAGAGAACGAGCAGTACGACGCCCGCGATGCCAGTGGCCAAAAGACCAGCGCAGAGAAGAAGGTGTACAACTCGGTGCGGCCGACGCGCTGGGCGCTTGGCAACACCCAGGTCGTCCAGCGTTGTGTTCATGCTACGATTGCAATGCTTTTGAATCGCGCGTTCGTAGTCATGTATATTTATAGCGCCAGAAGAGTACCATCCCAACAGACAAAACGAAGGTTCGCAGAACCGAGGAAGCGGACAAGCCTTGAGCTCACCGTGTGCTAAGGCGGCCATGGAACCAGTGCTTCAAACACGTTGTGCTAAGATTATAAATGCCGTAAGAGAAGTTTCAAATGAGCACGGTAAGCTGATCGCGACGGTACCTACTATTGTGCAAAACACGAGCCAACTAAGCTTACAAGTACAGTAATACTCGTTGTGTGGATGGAGCGAGTGATGATGGAGCGTTGACCAAGGCGGCCGCGACAGATCGAAATATATCGATTGGCTAAATAAATTTGAAATGATACCTTTATGTCCAATCACAGATGGTGTGGCCAGTGGCGCGCCACCTCGCTGAAGTCGAGACGCCAAACTACGATTGGAAATGAAATCGCCCGTATTTGGCACATGGCTAGCGACGCCTTTGGAGAGTTCAAAACGCTACACCACACGCTCGTTGACCCCGTACAACGGGAGAAATGCTTCGTCAAAGTTTCAATTTTTATCCGGATCCGGATACGTGACAGGCGTCGGCCGAGTGCAGACTTGCAGACATGGGTCCTTGGCCGTGGATGGGATGGCGGCGGACCTCGCTTTCTACCCGGACTTGATTGGGTAGGACATTTCTTGGCAGTTGGGAGTACGAAACATCGTCGATGCAGCCAGAATGGACGGCTGCAGGCGTTGCTTCGTGGCAGTTCAACTGTAGTAAATGGCTATTACGCCATCATTTGCAACGCTCCTTGGCTGCAACAATCTACTACGATCGTCGGTCGCGAAGATTCCTTCCCGTTGGCGCCGCTTCTGCGCTTCCCATCAAGACTGGTCCAAGGCTGACTCGCTCGGCCTGTCCGGTGCTGTTTTTGGACCGCGCCCGCCAAAGATACGTTCTCGGACCAATCAAAATGCGCAATGATTTTAGCCAATCAGCTCTCGCCACTCTGGCCTGGCTAAATTTACGTCGCAGTTGCGAGCAAACGATGTCGTCGACCGAGCTCTCGCCGTCGCAGGTCGCTCTCGCCGTCGACGCGTACGTCGGCGCGACGCTGCGCTGGCTGGCGCTGCACCGCGG